GATGAGACAGTTTAGTAAGGGTCTCCTCCAACAGCATTTATCATCCTGAATGTCTTTGTTCCTTAACTTCTATAAACATATTTCTCGAACTTGGTAAATATATGGACCAATTTTAAAAAGGGGGTAAAATGCTTGTAATTCCCACAGTGTTAAATTATTTTTATTATAATATTATTTAAATATCTATAAATATTAAAAAGTCAGTCTAAGTTCTTCATGTTTCTAGCTCTAAAAGAGATGTATAAATTTATCATAGAATATAAGCAAAAAAATAATCAGTTCAGTTTAAATTTAAAATGGTAGCATTTGTATCAGGAAGACATTCATGAAGGTGACACTGGAGTTGTCTTTCAACTTTGTGAGCAGGATAAGTATAAGTAGTGGGTAGATACAAGGATTCAGAGATAAAGGCTCAGGCAAATGAGTAAAGCAAGGGCCTAGATGTGTGAGTGTAGCGTGTATATGGAACAGAGAATGTGTTCTTTGGGCTCTAACGTACAGTGTGGGGGACATAAGGTCATAGACCCTTTGGAACTAGATCATGGGGCCCTTGAGTATTGGGCCACGTATTTAAGGCTTCATTCTATATGAATGGGAACCAAAGGCAGATGTGAGCAGAAGAGTAAGATGAACAGTGCTATATTCTTAAAAGTTTTATCTACAGCAATATTTAAATAAATTGAAAGAGTGAAGACCAGAAGTTTGAAAACCCGGCCAGGAGGTCAGATCCATAAGAGCAAGTACTTGTTTCACTACTGTATCACCAGGTCCTAGAACATAGTCTGTCCTCGAGAAGTGTTTTGTTGAATGAACAAATCTATCAATGAATGGCAAGGAGCCGTCCAAGTGGAAATGTGTAGAAGATAAAGTCTGGACTCTGAGCTCAGAATAGAAGTTAGTAACTTGGGAGTTGTCCATAACTAATTGAATCCTTGAGAGGTGTATAAGATTGAATGGAGAGAGAAAAGATGAACAGGCTGAGGGTGGAACTTTGGTTTACTCCTATAGTTACAGCTAATGTAAAGGGGTAGAGGGGCACAGAGATGGTAACAAGGAGAGATCAGAAAGATGAATCAGGAGATTATATTGTCCCAGCAGCCAAAGGAGCAGAATCTGTGTATGTCCAAGTGATAATACTTATTTTAAATTTTGATTTTTTAAAATTAAATTTATTAGAGTGACATTAGTTACTAAAATTATATAGGTTTTGAATGTACGGTTCCATAATACATCATCTGTTTATTGCATTGTATTTTTACCCCCCAAAGTCACATCTCCCGTCACCATACATTTGACCCCTTTAACTTTTTTACCTTCTACCCTCCCCCTTTTGCCCGGTAACCACTAAACTGTTGTCTGTGTCTATCGAAGGACACTTCAGTTATTTCCATGTCTTGGCCACCATGAATAATGCTACAGAGAACATCAAGGTACATATATCTTTATGAATAAAATTTTGAGATTGATTCTTCTTTTTTTAAGCAGACTTACTTTGAAGGATTCATGGATTTTAATTTTCCTAGCATTAAAAATGATTTTAACAAGTATGTAAGACTTAACATGAAGGGGTCAAGTTCAAACTAGGCAATTAAAGTATATCCTAGAAGCATGCTAGATGTGGAGAAATTTCAGGATGATATTACCATATTTTGGAATTTAACACACAATTCTTGTAGACTTCTTCCTACTACATCATTGAGCAAAATATATAAGTTTATTATGTTATACATAGTAGTTAAGCAACAGGGTAATTATATCACAAAAAAAATTGTTTACTTTATGGATTCATTTTATGTAATTCCTCTATTAGTGGTCTACCCTAGGATATTTTAAATGATTATATTAACTTTTATTCTAGACAATTTTTGTGAAACTTTTTTTTGCCTAAAGCAGGCACATGGTTCAACTTTAATTTTGAAAAAAAATTAAAAAGATGTAAGCTCAAAAATAGGCCTTGGCTTCTTACTATTTTATGGTTTTGAAAATCATTCTGAATCCTCTTGATAGAGTGTTTACTGCATCAGCTAGCAGTAGGATTTAACATTAAATTTTCATTTTGATTTCATTTTGATAACTGCAGTTGTTTCTTAGCTTCCTCTTTAGAGCCCACTGTGGAATAAAATTAAAACAGTTTTTATGATATCACAATTTAGTTGCAGAAAACGACATTTTTCTGTTTTTCCTAAATAGCACTGTGTTTTCCCTCTGAGTTTCCTGCATATACCCCACGGCTCTGGTTTCTGCCTTCTCCCATCTATCTTTTATAGTATCACCAGATTAATTCTTAAAGCAGTGTTTTGGCCATTCTCTTGCCAGAATTGTTCAGTAGCTCCCCGTTGCCTCCCTCTCATCTCAGTCTATCTCATCCATCAAAGGACCGGCTCTAATGCTTTTATAGTCCTGTTAACATTTTCTTGATCTTCTCTGCTAAAGTCCCTATCTCTGCTCTAGATTTCCTCTTCCTCTGGCATAGAACTCATCATGTCCTACCTTATATGAAATTACAAATGAAAATATCTCACCAGTGAAAATGTTGAATTCTTTAATGCATGAACCAAATCTTTGTATTTTTGTCCACTCCCTCATTGCTTTGTGCATAAAAGATACTCAACAAATGTTTATTGGTCAACAAATTGTACACATTAAATATGTACATTTCTTTCTCCTGATCCCCTTACTCTTTACTCAAAGCACCTTTCACTTTCTAATTAATTCACAATTTAATCATTCTTGTCAATTGTACTATCTGCCTTCTACTGTTAGATAATAAACATCCTACCTAGGGCAGATCTGTTTTCTTCTCTGATGTGTATCCCAAGTGCTGGGAACAGTGCTTGTCATACTGATTGAGTGAATGAGTGAAACTTGAAACTAAAGGTCAGTTTTCCCCTGATTCTTGGGTTTTTGTCAGCTTTCAAGATAATAGACAGTATGGTGTTGAAAGAGCAGAAGAGAGATGTAGAGAGAGACCCCGAAGTCAGCTTCTGCCACTTACTAGCTGTGCAGCTCTAAGCAAGTTTCTTGACTAACCTGAAGATCATTTCCTCACCTATAAAAGGTTAATATGACCTAAATTATAATGTTTACATAAAGGATTGAATTTTAGCAAGAAAAGTCCTACAATAAATAAAATTAAAAGCTGATCATTCCTGATCACTCCTAATATAATATTGACAGAGTTGGTGCTCCACAGTTTCCACGGCTGTCATCACATATCTTCACAGCCACTCTGTGAAGCAGGGACTGCTGTTGCCCCAGCTCCTGGGTGAAGAGAATGTTCCTGCCCAAGAGCACATAGTACTGGGGAGCAGAGCTGTGACTAGACCAGATCTGCTGGACTCAGAAGCCCCTGCTTGTAACTCCTGCTTGCTGTGTATGTATATGCCCTTCCCACCTTCTGCTCCTGACGGGTGCTCTGAGGGGCCTCTATACTGAGCAGTGCTTCTAGGTCTTTCTTTCCTGCCCTGACATGCTTAAGGGATGCAAAGGGCTGCTGAGTACCAGTGGTCTTCCTAGGTGGTATCTTTATGAACCTGGTCCTCCCAAGTGTGAAGGGCAGAGAAGTCTCACTTGCTGTGTATATGCCCTTCCCACCTTCTGCTCCTGACGGGTGCTCTGAGGGGCCTCTATACTGAGCAGTGCTTCTAGGTCTTTCTTTCCTGCCCTGACATGCTTAAGGGATGCAAAGGGCTGCTGAGTACCAGTGGTCTTCCTAGGTGGTATCTTTATGAACCTGGTCCTCCCAAGTGTGAAGGGCAGAGAAGTCTGGTTTGGAAATTCCCACCTCAATAAGACCCTACCCCTTCTGCTAGGGCACCTCCACTTCTGGGCTGTTTCTTTTTCTCTCATCTCCCCCACCCCCAGTAAAGCTCTCAACTCTTCGTGTGTCCTGCAACAAAGATAAAGTGATCTTGTATTAAGCCTGTTTTAAAAATTGTGGCCTTACTGGTTTGAGAACAGATTTGTTGGTTTATGATTATGATAACCAAGTTGATCATTACAGCCTCCTCTTCTTTATTTTTTTAATTAAAAAAGTACTGAAACTTTTACAAAATTTTTGAGGAATCTATAAATGCCATTTCAGAACATAAAGTTAAATCACCAATAACTGTTAATTATTGCAATACAATAAACATCAAAAATAAGGAAGTCTAATTGTTTTCTCTATAAAGGAATCAGCCTTTTCAGGTATTTCTTTGAGCATTTAAAATTACTAAACCAGGATTAATTAAGTGAATCATTTCAGCATCTAAAAAACTATCTTTTAAGTTCCGGGGAATGGAGTTCTCTTTTGAAATAGTTTGTCATCTCTTCTAATGCCAGAAGGGTATAACAGGAAATATTAAAATGAAAAATAATTTCATTTATATGCTATAAATGTCACTATTTTTAATTGATTGGGAAGTTTGGTTAGAGGCCAGAGAGAACTAGCAAAACATAAAAAATTTAAAAGGAGAAATAGACATTTAATCTCAAGTACTGTTCAACGGAGATAAGTTTATTATTTATTTACAGTAGTTATATTGCAGCATTTAAGAGCATAAGCTTTGGAATCAATCTTACTAGGCCCGAATCTCTTGTTTTCTGCTTATTCAGTCAATAAGTTTAGACAAGTAATATTTAATATTCTGAACCTTGTGAAGTATCTAAATATTATCTCTAATGTGAGCATGTACTGTTTGTTTTATAATCATTGAAATATAATTTAGATAAAGTCAAGTATGTGAAAATCTCTTTGTAAATAAATGGGAATGGAATCTTGTGTAAAATTGTCACACAAGATTCCATAAAAATGTTTCTAATTTATTTACAAAGAGATTTTCACATACTTGACTTTATCTAATAATTTTTTTATTGTTAGTTCATAGTGAACTTTCTCTCTTCTTGGATGAACTGTCACTTTCTGCATTAGTGAATTTTTAACTAATAAAATTTTATTGCAGGATACGGAATAAGCCTATGCTAATTCTAAGTTTTTTATATAAAATTATATTTTCTAGGAGAATGCATAGAAGGGCTGCGAGAAAATGACTACCTTCTCATTCATTCGTGCCGTCAGTGGACAACTATCACTGCCCATAGCTTGGAGGAGGGGCACTATGTCATCGGGCCAAAGATAGAGATTCCGGTACATTACGCAGGTAAAACTCCTCCCAGCGGGCAAAGAGAGGGAGAGGAAGGGGACTTGAATATGCTAATTTTTTTCTCCATTGTGAGAAAATAGGACTTGTCTATAAACTAGAATATAATGACTTAGAAAAAGAAGCAAACACTTTTGTGTAGTTATTTGAAAGCTCCCATTCATTTTGTCATATTTCTAATTAATGCATGTAGTTAAATGCAGATTCTTATCAGAATTTTACAAAATGAAAAGAATATCTCTGTGTTCTTGGAATGACAATCAATACACATGGCTAATCTCTGAGCTCCAAGGTCTCTGAATAACCCTGAGCACATCTTGAAAGTTACTTTTGTGAACGACTTTGATGCTGTGATTTCACAAGGTAACATTTCACACCTGAGCATTGTGGTCTGGTTTTAAAAGCATTGAATTGGAAGTTCAGATACCTGAACACGCTCCTCTTTGCAAATGTGACATTTAGAACACAGACAGCTGAGGTGACCTCACTGCTTTTGTCAACTTATGATGATAGCTGCCTTCTCGCCTCACTTTGAACGCCATTAAGCTCAACAATGCCATTTAATTTTTATTGAGCACATTTGTGTGCTAGCTCTCTTTTAGGAGTTTAGGATACATCTAGTGGCTTGAATATATATAAATGCAGTTTTTAAAGAATTTATGTTACTCTGTACTGTCTCTGGTACTTACAGTTCATTATATAAAGGATCTTGACTTTTTTTTTTTTTTTTTGGCTATTTAGTTTTTCCAAGATCTGTAGCAGGACACTTTAGTCGATTAGCTATAAGTTGTGTGGCCTTAGACTGCCATTTGTTTTTGAGTAGAACCTTTACAATGCCTAGAGAGTTGTCTGTTTGGAGGAGGGACCTTGCTGTATTCCTTCCCAGTGTCTAGAACAGCAGCAAATGGTATGTATTCAATAAATATTTATTGAGCGAATGAATAGTTTGGTCCCATTTTTTTATTCTTAGGAGTCTTTAAGTGCCGGTATAACCTAGGGATCATTCAGCTTCTTAAAAATCCATCATATTAAAAAAAAAATTATAAGAAAGAAAGCATTTCTCTGACCAGAAACTTTGTCCTCTACAATTATATTCCCTAGCCTCCTTCATGGAAAAAGGAGGAACATATAGCTGCAGAAACTATTACAATTGTGAGATTGGGAGCCAGGACAAAGGTACAGAGAATGAGACAGACCCTCCAGGCTGCCCAGTCTCTCCTGAGCATGGGTCCCACAGCAGGTGAGATCCATGCTATTTTACAGAAACTTCTGGTTCCTGTCTTTTTGTGGAAAACTGAAAAGGAAGCATTATGATTATGCTTCATCAGCATACAGTTTCACCTAATCTGCTGTGTTTTTCTCTTAGTAGACAAAATTTTAGTCTTTCTCCCAAATCCATTTTGAATAATTCTGTCAAAGGAGTGCTTTCCAAAGGAGTGCTTTTATTTAATCATTTCCTCAAATCTCATTAGAGACTCCAAAATGCCACTGGACTCTCTGGCTTGTTGCTCAAGGCCCTCCAGGGGCTGGTTCTAGTCTACTTCTCCAAACTTACCTTTTCTACTCTAAAGAGTGAACCTTCCACTCTAGCTAGATTAGTCATCTCGCTGTTTCCTGGACATACTGGATACTTTTCCATTTATACCGTTCTCCAGCCGGAGTTGCCTTCCTCAGCCCTGCTCTTATAACAGAGCCTGCCATTGCATCCAGAGGGTGCAGCCATCCCCTACTGTCCCCATGTGGTCTCCCAATATACTGATCGTATATCACATTAATTTGGCACATGTCTTCAGTCTTCATTTAGTTACTGTTTTCTACGTCCACACAAATCTTCACTCACCAGTTGAACTATACACTCCTTAACTAGTGAGACTAATTCTAGGAAACCTTTGTGAATTCTTTGGCTCTGTACACAAAAATATGATTCTTAAATGATCTTAAACTTGGCTAAACTTTAGAATCATCTGGGAAGCTTTAAAAATTTTTTGATGGCCCTGGTCCCATCTCCAGAGTTTCTGGTTTAATTAGTCTTGAACGTGGGTGAGGCATCAGGATTTTAAAAGCTCCACCGGTAGTCATATTATGCAGCCATGAATGAGAACTCTTTGTTCTGGAATGGGTAATCACAGTGTCAGATGATAAGATTTTCCCGAACACCTGCAAGTATTTACAAACGTTTTATTATTTTTAACATACTTTTTTATTAATACTCATTCAGCTTCCACTGAGAAGAAATATACGGTATATTCAGCAGCTTACTCTTTATCTGCAAGGAAGTTACTAGTACACTGAATTGGGAAACCAGGCACTGTGTTACAAATGATACATTTTTTTAAAGTAAAATTGAAGTGCTGAGACAAAAGAAACATGAGCACTAAGATCACACCGCGTTATGTGAAAGAAGAAAAAAGAATATTTAAAGCAAGAGAAACACGAAATAAGACTGTCTTAGTTCAGGCTGCTCTAACAAAATACCATAGACTGAATGGGCTATAAACAACAGAAATATATTTCTCACAGTTCTGGAATCTTAGAAGTCCAAGATCAAGACACTGGCAGGTCTGGTATCTGATGAGGGCTCACTTCGTGGTTTGCAGGTGGTCATTTTCTCACTGTGTCCTCACATGGTGGAGAGAGAGCAATCACTTCTTATGTCTCCTCTTATAAGGCCACTAATCCCATTCATGAGGGTGCCATCCTCATGACCTAATTACCTCCCAGAGGCCCCACCTCTTAATACCATCACATTGGGGATTTAGGCTTCAACATCTCATTTTAGGAGGACACAGACTTTCATTCCATTGCAAGGACCAAATGGTTATGAGACAATTGATAAGATGATTTCAAAGGACACATTGGGTTTATTTATTTTTTATTTTTTCAAATAATTTGTTTATTAAAAAGTTCAGTCCTTGGAAGAAAGAGAGCATAAAGTTAATTGTGGAGACCAAAACTATCATTTGTATCTCTATCTCTGGTTTATTTAGCGCTGTAATTATAATTAGAAGAAACTCTTATCCAAGCCTATTTTACTCATTTGTCAGAATTTCATCGATTGAGATTCATCTTTCTTTGAGGAAAATTAAGGTAATAATTAAATAAGTTTAACATAGTCATAATTCCTACCAGCTTTGTAATCAACCTCATTGGATTTCTGATTCTGCCATTTACTGACTCTTATTTTAGGCACGTTACTAAACCTCTCTAAACCTTAGTTTCCTCATCTTTAAAATGGGGATAACTATAGTGCCTTTTTCTTAGGGTGGTTATGAAGATTAAAAGAGGTAACACAGGTGAAATACCTTACAGAGTACTCTCTAAATGTTAGTGGTGATTATAAAAATGATAGCAACAAAATGTTTCTCAAGATTTAACTTTTTATTTTGTACTACTAATTACAGATTGAGTTACTTGTTTGTTCATTGAAGCAAGCTGAACACTGATAACCCTCAAGATTGTTTTGGCTGCTGGTTTTGTAAAACTTTTTATTTTGAGGTTTCACCAGTATATTTCCTTATACCATCGACACAGTTTTACACATTTTTAACATCATTTTGCCATGTTCTTATCATTCTTTTCCCCCCCTTCTCCCCCTCTTTCTCTCTCTTTACACACACACACATTTTTGCAGAATCATTTGAGAGTGAACAGCATACATCCTACTAATATTTCACTGTGCATTTCCTAAAAATAAGGATATCCTCTTATGTAACCACAGTGCTATTAACAAATTCAGGACATTTAATACTTTAATCTATGGTCCATGTTCCAGTTTTGTCAGATGTCCTAATAATGACCTTTATAGCATTGCACCCCCCCTCCGCCCCCCGCTCCAGGACAGCATCCAGCGTAGGACCACTTACTGTATTTTACTGTCACGTCTCTTTAGTCTCCTTTAATTGAAACAGTTCCTCAGTCTTTCTTGTGTGAAGAACATAGGCAAGTTGTTTTATAGAATAGTCCTCAATTGGGGTTTTCCCATCTCCTCAGGGATAGATTCAGGTTATATATGTTTTGGATTGCTGTGTACGTGATGTTTCCTTCTCAAGGAATCACATCTGGATTCATGGGATGTCCCTTTGCTCCTTATTGGTGACAGTAATTTTGATCATTTGGTTAAGGTGTGTGATTTCTCTGCTGTGTTATTACCATTTACTTTGTGATTGTAAAACTTTTGCAAGGAAATACTTTAAGATTCTCTAAGTATCCTATTCCTTCTCTCATTCTCCCTGCTTCACCCTCTCAAGCAGCTGTTGATTTCTGTCTGGTTTAGTTTTTGCTGTGAAGGTGGCAAAATGGTGCATTTCTAGCTTAACTCCATCATTAACTTCTTACATTTGCTAGTTGTCATTCTGCTGTAAAAGGGAGAGCTTTTCCTTCTTTTCCATTTATTTATTTGCCTACTTACTTATAATTATCAGCATGAAATTATGGATTCTCCAGTCAGTGGGTTATAATATATTATTGTCCTCATTTATATTGATGCTCAAATTGTCCTTAATTTAGCTATTTAGGTACAAGCTTTTTTTTTATGCCATGCCCACTTCATTTTTTCAAGCATGTCCTTATTTTCTGGAATAGGTAGCAACCATTTTTTTTAGTCAGTATATTGTTTCAGTCAGGGCCACTGTACTGTGCTGTTCCAAGCAATGTTCCTCACTTTGTGGTCTCCATAAATGGTGTCCTTGGAGTTGTACAGTGCACAGCCTGAGAAGCCATATGCAGCTCTATTCACAGATATACTGGAAAGCAGTAAGACTCAGGATTTTTAGGAAATTACAGTTCAGAGTGCCTTTCCCATATTCTTTATCAGAGATTTTCATGACATTCCTCACATGAAAAGAAATAATTTCATAAAACTTTGAGAAAAGATAAATATGACTTGAAGTTTTTATCAGAACTGCACTCTGATATGGTGGCATTAAGAATCGCCTTATTCTGAATTCTGAAATTATTAGATGTGCTTTGGGAAAAAAATAAAGACTTCTGGCAAAGTAAGG